GGGGTGGTGGAGTTGCACCCGCGAAGCGCCGATGGAGAGGTCTGGCCATTGGCGTCCTCTTCCTTGTGGTACTCTCAATGCTTGTTCCCCTTGGATTCTTGCTTGGTCTACACAATGGCTTTCACTCTGCAGGTGCGCCTCTATCAATCTTGCAGATCTGTTTGTTCTTTTCTTCTATTTCGATTAGGGCATCTGCTGCTGCTCTCATTGTATCCGATCGGAGTCCTACTCCTAGATCTCGATTTCACTCAAGTCTTTTCTATAGTTTTCTTTTGCTTTTTCGCTGCTTGCACTCTGCATTCTACTTTAACGCACGCTTGCCTATTAGCAATATGAACCAGATCTCTGATTCTACTCATCTATGCTCTTTTACCTCTTCTCATCTCATATGTGCTTTAACCGTTTCTGTTTCTCACACCATCCGTGTTGCCTCATCAGCAGGAATCATGCCTCTTCAACACACTTCATCTCCAGTAAGTTTTGTTTTTTCATTACTTGTCCATTCCATTTACTGGGTTTCACTCAATTACTTTCACGCAGCATTTTTCTATCACACTCTTGTTGGATTTATGGTCTTTGAGATTATGATCCATTTTGAACCAAAAACTTTTTTAAGAGTTACTGTGAGGATTGTTCTGGCAGTTAAAATGTGAATGTAAAACATTATTCTGCTGCTTAAATCTGTTTCTTTCCTAATTCTCAAGTGAAAAAATGTACTGCATCCGAAAAACAAAAAAATCCTCAAGTTTGAGTAAAAAGCAAGTATAATGATCAATTTATGCTTTGAATTTTCTGACAGGGGGATCGTTCAAGCCATATAGATAGCCTTGTGAGAAAATTAGGACCTACTCTACAAAAGGTTTGTTGTTCCCAATGCTCCTTTTTGTGTGTGTGCCTGTGTAGCTTCTGGAATATGATGCATCTTTCCTTTTCCTTCCCCCCTTTACTTGCCCTATAATGTTATGATTGGTGTTGATAATGCTCAAGTTATTGCAACAAAATTGCCAATTGATAATTAGGTTGCTATATCCTTTTGTTAACTATGCCAGATGACTTATATGGATAAAGTGTACTTAGGGTTCTTTTTGATAGAGTTCAAGGAGACTGTTTCACACCTCTGAACATCTGACATGGGAATGGGACGCCCAAATGTGGTATGTTAATACATTGGATATCCGGTAGAGTAATTTGTGGGAAATTTGGATATGCTTTGTTTGGCTGTAGACTGAATAATTAGTTCCTTATCAATTACTGAGACATAAAACAACGAATTCATGTGGGCAACTAAAGACACCTTGTTTCAAAGTTTATCTCTCCTAACACAATTTCTTTCTTCATAGATCTGGTAGATGATATATTTAAGGAATTGACATGAGAATAATATTTAAGCTATATTACTCTGTGGTCAATAAGATGCATCTCATAATAAATAGTAATGCACGAACAATATCAAGGGAAGTGAGACTGGAACAGAAACGAAAATCGTTGTTTAGGTGTTTGGAGACAGATAAGATTGGGTAGGATATAGCTTTCTATTCACCTCTCTTTTGTTATTTAATAGTGTATCAGAAAAAATGAAAATGAACAAACTTTTTCACTGTGTGAGTAAGAAGCTAAATTATTCATCTTACTTTAAATAGAATAAAATTATGTTTGGTTCTCTGTTTGAGACAAGAAGATAAGAAAATTAGGGAATTAAATGAAGATGAAAGATGATATGCTGTCCTGGAATTGTTTCAGAGATTTTTATTTTTAAATTTTTGTGAGAGCTTGTATCTGGTTTTAAGATGTTGCAACTTCAGTTCTTATTATTCTTCTTCCTTTTCTTTGTGTTTTCTAGTCCTTTCAAGGTCTAGCTTCCTTGAGTATAAATTTCGATGCCCAAAATTCTATGAAGAGTCTTTCATATTCGTGTACTTATTGCTTGTTTAATTTTGAACCAAGAACTGCACTATGAATTCCTAAACGAAGAAATTTGATGTTTTTTTTATCAAAAAGAAGAAAGAAATTTGATAGAGAGATCCTATCTTATAGAATGACAAGCCGTTGAATAGCAATCTGATTTCCATTGTCCTTGTTTTCTAAATATACCAGCAAAGTTCCTTTGAGCACACACCTCTGGATATAAGTGGATTATCCATTCTTCTTTGATTTCATTCCTGATGACATGTCCTGGGTATTATAGGGGTTTTCTCACTACCATGAAGATAATATAGAATTATGGTGCCAAAATGTTAAGGGTCATGGATGCATGTCTATCAGACTTAAAAAGGGACAGATGTAGAGAGGCGCAACTGCCCTGGCTCAAATTGTAAAGTGTTTTTAACATGTTATCAATACAGTGATAGTTTTGGTTGCCTCTTAGTTTTGCCCTGGTAAATTTGGTAAAAGTGTAATTTTTTATATTTTAAGAAACAGAAAATATTCAAAATAATCAACATCAATACTCGCTCTACTCAAAAGTTTAAATCATCAGGTGATCTTATTTGTAGTAGGGGACTCACTTGTGCAGGCCCATTGTGTTCTGGAAACATGCAGGCAAAAAAGGCTTACTGCTTATTCGCCTTATTGAAAAATTCAGATTTAGTAGATAGCAGTGGTTGGCATTTGAATTCTAGATCACTTGATACCTTTTCAAAAGCCACTCAAGCAAAAGACTTGAATTATTTGGTCAGAGTCCAAAATTTATGTTTATTCACCAACAAATAAGTGTTTGCTCCGTATTCATTTTAATAAAAAATTAAAGTTACATTTAGTTACCAGTTTAAAATAATAGTCACCTTTTGAAAATTTACTTATTACGTTTGAGGTTTAACATGTAATAAAAGCACAAGTAGATAAATTAAAGGCAACAGTGGTATGAATATTTCTTTGATGCATATACCTATATCAATATAGAGATATATAGAATGTTAATCATGAAATTAAAACTTGACATTTTAGTTTTTATATCATTTTTTATTGTGTCCAAACTATTTTTAATTTTTAATCTTCTTTTTTTCCTCTAGAAAGCAAAGTCAAATGGTAAAATTGACAACTAAACGAAATTTGTACACTTGAACAAATGCTGAATATCCTCTGTATATCATTAAAAGAAATTCATATAATGTAGATGGATGTTTAGATGCTTATGGGTTGATCAAATTTGTCTAAGTTGTTTTTGAATTTTTGTGAAATTTTGCATAATTGTCTCTTTAATATATATGCCCCTACTAGACAAGTTTTCTGCTATTTGGTTGATGCTTTTGCTAGTTGCTATTTTTTTTTAACAAAAAATGAGTAGAAAGAAAAATGCAAAAAATAAACAATAAGTAGAAACTAATAGACAAATAGCAAAAATATCAACCAAATGGAGCCTTGTTTAATTTACACTAGAACTTAATGTAATTATGAAATGTTTTTACTCTTATAGTTGCATGGAGAATTTTCATATCACATTACTATAATACTATTCATTAAATTTAGTTTATGTACTTATAAAAGTTCATAAAAAAAATTAAAAAGTAATGTATGAGTTCATTTTGTATGTGTATCTATTCTTAAAAATGAATAGTGCCTAAGAGTTTTATCAATATTTTCTTATTTTAGTTTTTCTATTGCTTTTTTTTTTTGGACAAAATTCTAATGGGCTTTGCGTGAAAATATGGCTTTAAAATGATCTGCGTATCATTGATTTTGTTGACCCAGATCCATCACCACACTCAACCATCAGTAACCCTAGCAACCAGGTATAAGGACGTTTTTGAAAACAGTTGACTCTTTATTAGCACCACTCTACTCTTCTTCAACCTTAGCTCTTGTCTCTCCAGCAGCCTTTACAACTTACAGCACCTTCTTTATTTTTTTATATCTTTTCCTTTGCTTTTTTCTTGTTTGTCTTTTATTTGAAGAAATTCTTGGGTAGGCATAACTAAAGAAGCCCATCAGAACATATGAACCCAGAAAACTTCGTGCAAAACTCTTCTTCCGGTCATATGGAAACAAATAGGGAAACTTTTCTGTACTAAGATAACTTGTTATGTGAAAATGGTCAAAATGTGACGGTACAGATGGTAGTCTGTTAGAAACAGAATTTAACAAACAGTTAAATGGACTGGTTTTGGTGCAAAAACTAGACATACCGGCCACTACCAACAGTGCCAAAGGAGTACTGACAACCATGAATGGAATGCCAAAAGACAGACATGTACTTTTATCATTTTATGTCAGACTTCCTTATGCTTCAAGCATAGGTTATGCACCACCCAACCTTCTTAGGACCTAATCATACAGGGTCAAAGCTTTTTACCCATAGGGCAGGAAATCAAAAGATAAGTTGCCTACTTAAAGGGTAGTAATGAGCAAGAATTATAATTTGGCATATAATGTTGGAGAATAGGTTTTGTAATTTGCTTCTAGTATGATAGCTTTATGTGGCTTCAGCTCCAACCTCCAGTCTTCCTCATCTCTTTAGTCCTTTCTCTTGTTTTTTGATGGTTTTCATAATTTGGAGAAATTAAAAGATACTAGTAGCAGTGCCTGCCACATTCTGCATCTGTAGGGTGCAGAAAAAAATTATATGCCAGAGGATCCTATCCACTACTTAAAAGTAGTGGAGATCTCCACTAATTTTTCATTGAATTATACATACAACAATATCAATCTAGGGCTAATAATTCTCCACATCATCCTCTTCCTTTTTATTGTCTAAACACAGCCGTTTCATTGATATCACAAGTCTTCTACTCTCCATTAGACTTTTTTCTCTCAAATCTGCCTCAATTTTTTTTCCTTATCTGAATCCTGAGAACATTTTCTTCAATGCTTCAAACTTCCAAATCTTGACTTGCCCTTTTCTGTATATAGTTCAATGTTGCCGTTTGTCTCTCTATAGCTCACCATCCCAACCTGGTAATGAATGCATTAGTCTTCAGCTCTTTGTGAGCACTCCAAATGTTTGCTTTTGTTCATATATATTTATATAGGGCTTAGGCTTCTCTCTTAATTGTTGAGTTGATTTATTCTCCAAATCAAGTATAGATGTATTAGCCATCAATGTGTTATGTTTTGATACAAAGGATCACTGTTGAATTAGGACCCATAGAATGGGTTTATAATGTACAACTACAGTTTGGAATAAAGAAAGCCAAATGAAGAAAAAAAGTTTGTATCTTGGAGCTTGTTGGATTTATTGGGATTTTGATATTCAGTATTTAACTAATCATTCAGTATTCTAGTAGATTTATTAGCTCAAGTTGCCCCACGTTTTAAGATCCAAATCTTATTCAATTACTTTGAAAATGTGTCCTGATCCATTTGAAATTGTTTTTGCTCATCAATTCTCCCGGAGGGAGCAAAGCTGGAAAAATTTCATCATTCAACTCATATATGTTATTTAAGGGAAACTGTTTTATCATTCACATCAACTTCTGTATGCTTATTAAAGCATATGGTATTAATTTAATTAAATGCATATGTTTTGGTTATAAAAAGGAAGAAGGATGATATGGAGAACTATTAATCTTACATTGATATTGTTGAACATTGGTCATTCAATGGGTAAAATAGTGGAGATCTCAACTGCTTTTAAGTAAGGAGCCTTTCCCTAAAGATATTATCTAGCTTTGGTTGGTATTCTATTAGAAACTTGTGGTTAGATCTTACTTCACTAATAATTAGGGATTAAGAGATTGGATGAACAGCTCTGGGTTTGTAGCCAATATCATTTAAGTGGTTGATCCTTCTATGCAGCAGCATCTCTTTCTACTATATGAAGTCCGGTAATGTGTGATCTAATGTTTAACTTGACTTCTTATGCAGTTAGCAGTTATCACTGTAATCATTAGTGCTGAACTTTTATGTGTTATGTTACTAAGGGACAGATGTCCGAAGTGTCCAATGACTCCTGATTAGGCTTATAAAAGTTTCCTTTAACTTGTGTGTAGTTTGCTCATAATTGTTACAATCGTCATTCAGGAGTTTATGATTATATACATGTTTGCATTTAACCATTTTATCTTTTTTTTTTTAGGATATTCTTAAAGGCTTTATAAATGAAGCTAAAAACGAAACCAGCAGTGCAAATGTAACACCTAAAAATCAGCAGAGAAAAGGTCTGGTTGGACTTGTTTTTCTTAACTGTTTTCAGATAATTTTCCATGCCCTTTTATTAGATTTCAGTTTGAACCCACTCTTTTGTTTTTCTAATATTCAACAGGTATTCCAGAGTCGCCTCAAGTTTTGTTGCAACCATTAACCATAAATGTATGCATATTGCTGAAAAGTTTGTTATCTGCTATGTGATTACATTTTGGTGCCTAGATATAACATTTCAAATTAATTTGATTTTCTCTTGCAGATTAGTAGCGTTAGTGGTAAAGCTAGAATGAAAGGTGGTGTTGATGAAAGTGAGGGATTATGTGAGTTGAAATTTGGTAGCTACTGCATTTGGCGTGAAGAAAATAGGGAAGAAATGAAAGATTCCAAAGTGAAGAAATTGAAGGACCAGCTTTTTGTAGCCAGGGCATATTTTCCTAGTATTGCAAAAATCCCAGCCCAGAGCAAGTTGTCTCGTGAACTGAGACAAAATATTCAAGAACTAGAGCGTGTGCTTAGTGAAAGTACTACAGATGCTGATCTTCCACGAGAGTAAGTTATGGTTCTTTTTTCATGACTTCATAAAATTCCATGTATAAGGTTAATTATTACAGTTTTAATACCATGAGCATTGTGACCCATTTACTGACTAGAAATGTTAGTTTAAACATAAAATTTTGCACTCCATATTTTCCAAATGGAATGTCCACTATGGTAAAAAGCTTTATGAATGGGATATTTTGTCCCTTACTATATAACTTTTATCCTTCAAGGGTCATAAAAGCTAGAGGGGCCCATCTAAAATTAATAATTCAGTAAAGGGCAAGATTGGAAAAATGTATTCCATTTTGGGAAAACTGTACATTATATTGAAATATTCCAAAGAGTAATAATGGATATTCAATTTGAAACGGAGTGAGTAATATATGGACAGTTTGTTCTTTTGCAGTTGTTAGGTCTTTGTCAGATCTGTTGGTTCATTTTCCCTCATTTGTGCTAGTTTGTCCAAGTAGAGGAGTAGGGACTTTATCTTTTGAGTTTATTTAGATCATTCTTCTAAAATTGCTTGCTATATGTTTGCCCGAAGGACTATGCCATGTTTGGTGTTTATCTCTCACTTGATATGCTAATCTGCTGCATCTAGTGGAACTATATCATGCCTGTATGCTTTTTAAAGTCCTGTCATAAGTGTTCCTGATGGCATGATATAACCTGATACTTTTTTTTCATTTATTGAGTATTGAGTCAGGCTGCTGTGACAATCTAGATATTTTTTTCCCACTTTCCCACTGCCTGTCACAGCAATTTAACTAAAACTAGCATTGCGAATTCTAGATCCTAAAGATATCTCAGAGAGGGCTTAAAATCTCTGTGGGCCAGCATGCTTATAATGCTTACAGCATGGGTCCACCAGTTTTCTTGGCTTCTCTCTCTCTCTCAAATTTTCTCTTTTTGGCAGATTGGTCTGATAAATAGTGCTCATAGATAATGTGTTCTTTTAGCAAGCTAGAAATTTTCATGTCACTCGCCTAAGCATGAAGTGTATTTTACTGGTTGTTTCAGGATTGAGAAGAAGTCACGGAGGATGGAAGCTGCAATAGCCAGAGCGAAATCAGTCTCTGTGGATTGTAATAATGTTGACAAGAAATTGAGACAAATATTTGACCTGACTGAGGATGAAGCTAACTTTCACATGAAGCAGAGTGCCTTTCTTTACCAACTTGCAGTGCAGACAATGCCCAAGAGTCTGCACTGCCTGTCTATGAGACTAACTGTGGAATATTTCAAAGACCATGCATTTGATAAGGAGCTGCCTGAGAAATTTTCTGATCCCACATTGCAACACTATGTTATATTCTCCAATAATGTCATTGCATCATCAGTTGTTATAAACTCAACTGTTATGCATGCAAGGGTATGTCATAGTTATTCTTTGATTTCATTTCATTGTTTTATGCCTCAATTCTGTTGATGACACTGACTGGTTATTTGCAATATTTCAGGAGAGTATGAACCTGGTTTTTCATGTGCTGACTGATGGACAGAATTTCTTTGCGATGAAACTTTGGTTTCTCAAGACTACTTTTAAGGATGCTGTAATTCAGGTGTTGAATATTGAACATCTTAATTCAGAGTACTACGATAAAGCAACTTTATCTCACCTTACCTTGCCTGTGGAGTTTCGAGTTTCCTTTCATGGCAGTGACAATGCACTGGCAATACATGATAGAACGCAATACCTATCTATTTTCTCTCATTCTAATTATCTTCTTCCTGAGATTTTTAGAAACTTGGAAAAAGTTGTGGTTCTGGATGATGATGTTGTTGTCCAGCAAGACTTGTCAGCACTATGGAGCCTTGACATGGCAGGGAAAGTGACTGGTGCTGTCCAAATTTGCTCAGTGAGGTTGGGTCAGCTGCGGAGTTATTTGGGTGGAAGCAGCTTCGACAAAAATTCATGTTCTTGGATGTCTGGATTGAATGTAATTGATCTTGTCAGGTGGAGAGAGCTTGGCATTTCTGAAACTTACTGGAAGTTTGTGAAAGAGGTGCGTGATTGCTTATGTTTGATAATCTCTCGTATCAGTTCAATTAACTTGCAAAACACTGTTTGAAAATGGCATTAGTTGCATGACTTGATATGAAATGAACCTTTAACATAACTCCAATTTAGATTGGTGTCAGTATATTTTGCTATGTCACTGTTGGCAACAGTTTTCGTACTCCAATAAATTTAGAGAAATTATGAATATATCAGTTTATTGAGCTGTTAGTGGTTTTGAACCTATGATTAGAATAATGAAGAGCTACTGCTGTGTAAAATATTAAAATTTTCTGACCATTTCGACTGCATTTCTTACATGAACAGAAGCTCAGCATGAAA